GCGTGAAATCTATATCTGATGTAAAAAAAACATAATACAGTGGGGCTGCAAACTGAATAATGTAAGTAACATAAATATTTAGTTCAAAGCTATGAACTTGGTGATAGAACCCAAACATTTTCTCTAAGTGTGTCGTCGCTTACAGAGAAACAGAGAAACAGGCGGATCTGAGCGCCTTGGTAAACAACATCGCTACGGCACACGGACATACACACGAAGATCACGAAGATCCTCCGGATCGGAGCATCCCAATCGTAGGCGTAGTGTTTGCTCTCCATCCGAATCCGTATCTTCATCTGTATTTGTACCTGTATCTGTAGCTGTATCTTTGTCTGCAGCTGCGGAGGTATCTGCAGATGTATGGGTGGCATGTTCGTTTTTTGTTTTGTCTAATTTTTAATCAACATTTGCACGTTGGCCCAATCCATACATGGTTGCGATGGAAATCTCTCAGCGATGATGAGAACGCACTCGCAATTAGAAATAAGAATTTCAAAACAAAACCAAAACTTATACAGCGCCGCATTCTCTCGGCATTAATTTGGTGGGTGTGGGCTGTTTTGCTGGGTGGGTGGGTTGGTCTTAAGTTTTGATGCTAGCTGGTTAGGGACGCAAAAGCCATAAACACAAACCGAAAATTGTTAATAGAGCGAATAGTGCATTTATAGATTTGCCAGATTTTTTCAGTTGGCCAAATTGAAATTAATTAAGAACGCCCCAACCTTTTTGGCACACTCTCATCAATCACACACGAGATCATTAAAATCCATTCAGTTAATGATCGAAGCTCTTAATAGACTTATATGGTGCTATGGGAATTTTTAAAAATAATAACAAACGAAAAAATGCGTTTGTTGTTTACACTACACATATACTTTCAATTTGTTGGTAGTGTGGGTGTGGGTGGGAAAACTGTGTATGAGATGGAAAAGTAAGGGAAAGCAAAAATAAATTAAATGAAAACCGTGCGCTCTCACGTTTTTGCAAGAGATTTTTGGACGCTTACGCGTAGAAACATATCTAGAGTATGGAATTCTATTTTTAATAAGGCGCTCACGAAATTTGTATATTTAAATTTAGATAAATATGCGAGTGGCCAATTATCACAGGTGAGGAAATACAATTTCTTGACAGAAATTTGAATGTACCATGTTTAGTACTAGTGCACAATGTATTTACATTAATTAAATATTATATTCAATCTCAAAGTTTCCCACTGATGGTGTTACTTTCTAAAAAATAACAAATATATATTCCCACATATAAGCGTTCATTCACTCTATTTCCCCCGCTATCAGATGAGTAATCGGCAAACATTTTCACAACGCCTTGTTGGGCGCCATTCATTTGGTTTGCCACGACGCTTAGTTGGTCATCATTAATATAAAAATACACACGAATATATGTTAACAGTTGTGTATTATTTTTTGTCAAATTTTCGGCCCACATTAGCTGCCCAGCAGCTGATTGAATTGTGTTGGCCAGCAACAGCACAAATCTGCCAATTTGATGATACTGCAACAAATGTGCTGCCTGAAAATATTATTTATAAAAATCAGCGAAAAGCGCATATATTTGATTGTGGCAGCGTCTTCAGAAGCGGAGGCACCAGCCAACAGGCCAACCAGCCAGGCCACCACAAAAAACATCATACCAAGTCGGAGCACCGGGCCACCACCTTTTAAGGATGCGCCAAACAACGGAGGAGAATGCCGACGACAGCTTGACGTTGGCGGCGTGCGCGCTTGTTTGCCTTTCTGACAACCAGCCGCATCGCCAGCAGCTACGGGTGCGGATATTTCTACGGATATGAGTACGGGACACGATGAAAAATATTACGCATTCCAACACGGAAAAGCTCAAGTAGCCGTCTTTATCTGGCACGTCTTTATCTTAAAAACCTTTTCTTATATATAAGGGAACATTTATTAGCTATAAACTTAGACTCATTGACATACCACACATCATAATGGTACGCTTTTTCTCCCTGTGCAGCGGCATAGCAGACTGCATTACACGGTGTATTGCAAAGCTGTATTTTTAAATTGAATATTGTGCCAAGAAAATATTAATATATGAGCATATATTTATGAATCTCTTCAAGTGGTATTTCGATATTTTTAATGTTTAATTTGCATTTAATGCCTTTAATTCAATGCACATGTTTGGTTCAACAGGGCGTATGTGTGATCAATAAATAGATGCATTGTAAAGAATCCAATGTGCAACAGCTGCAGATGCTACATGGGGTTTTAAGATTTAATTTTAACTGAAATTGTTAACTATGGTATATATATTGCAATTCTTTCTCTAATCATGTACAACTTTAATATTATGCACTTTTTTTCGAGAAATTTTCCTTTTCTTTTCCTTTTTTTTAGACCGATAAACACATTTAAAGTAGCACAACTCAAAGGCAAAGACGCAGCAAGCAACCAGCAGAAGTCCTCCGGAAAAGGCGATGGCCCCGCGAAACTGATCAAAGGTGAGAGCCTTGAAAGGATCCTCCCGCACCCTTGTTATCTCCTCGTGGATCATGCGTCGCATGTCCAGATCGCGTGCCCACTTTTGCATATGACCCGATTCGATGATATGCTGAACCACCGGGTTGATCTGGTGCAGGAGATGGTACTTCTTCGGCAGTAGCATGGTAACCAAATAGACATACAGGGATTCTCGTCGATCGAAGCAGTAGAGACGATCCCGTTGGACTCGAGGATTGTAGAAGGAGTGCTGCCTGGAAACAGCAACGGCAATATGTTCGTGTTGAGCTGCATCATTTAGGCAGTCCACTAAATTGTAGCACATCTGAAACTTTTCGCGAATGTATTTGAAGATCTGAAAATGGATTCCCATTATTTTTGGATAAGGTTCCGTAATTTGAAATGGGGGTTACCAACCTCCCCATCCTTGTTCAGGTGTCTCACATTCTCGGAGGTGCCCATCACGGTCATTTTATTGCTATAGATCTCTTGCAGAGTGTGGATCTGATAGGAACTACGTGGAGTTGTCAGTGTGCTGATCAGAAAACTCTGATATGTATTGCTAAAGAAAAAGCCCATTAGAAAAGAAATCGCAAACAATTGCCTTAAAGTAAATGGAAAATCCTGTGCGGGAATGGCCTGGTTAAGCAAGATTCCCAACACCCTCAAGCAGATGGGGAAATATCCATTGAGATTTCGCAGTTTGAAGTCAGAGACGCGTTGAGCCAGCCAAACCACCAGAGAGCATGTGACCACAAAGATTCCGATCAGGAATCCAGCATCCGCATTGAAAGTGGCCACGAAATTGAAGAACCCATGTCTGCGCTTTGCCCTGGCCACACACCATGTGAGTTCGTCCTGGTGATAAGGAATGGAACTGGACACGAACTGACTGATGCTCGGGTCCTCATCTATTCCACCGATTAGCATCTCTATTTCACTGTGGTCAAGTGTAATAACATATGACATAAATTATATTTTGGGCAAATATTATTTTTCTTACCCATCGATCAGTTGCTGGAAAAGGTGGTACAAATTGCTGTTTTCGCCCTGCAATTCGATGGTAACGTGCAGGCGTTCGGCGATGGTCTGCACCATTTGGTACTCGATTCCACTCAACTTGAACTTTTCACCAGACTCAGTTTCAGTGCCTAAAATGGCTCCATCACCGTCCTCCTCTGGATCAGCATAGCTCTCATCGTCCGCTTCCCCATAATTTGGAGATGTGTCGTTGTAGTCATCTCCATCCCCATGCAAGCCGTAGTAGTAGTCAACGGGCTGCTCCTCGCTGTTGCGAAAGATATAGGGTTCCCATGGACGAAACGATGCTGTGAGAGGACATCCACTGAGATCGCGGGGGAATTTATCCTCGAACTTCGCCTGAAAAAATTCCTCAATAGTGGCTGCCGGCTTAGAGAAATTGAAACTCAAATCATTCTCTAGTTCATCGACATCTGTTGTATTGTTAGGGGACTCATCAGCGTTATCCTTGTTATTAGAATCATTTCGGCTATCGTAGTTTGATTCAGGAGATACACTTGTACTTACAAGTGCATTTTCAGAATAATCATTGGTAGGCGTAACATATTTCCTTACCAAGTTTTCTATTGTTTTAATAGATTTATAAAACCTAGTTGCATCCACATTTTCATCATAATTCTCTTGGCTTGGTGACATATTTTCAACAGTTACAGTTTCTCCCGTGTTTATATTATTCTCCTTAACTTCATGACTAGTATTAGCCTGTGAACTTTCCTCAAACTGTTCACCACTTTCCTGGTCTCCATCTCCCTCCTCCTGGTATCCATCTCCCTCCTCTCCATCATTTTCGTCCTCGATCTCCGTTTCTTCACTCGGATAATCGCAGGCATCCAGTAATTCCACAGATATCACGCGATTACCACAATTATTGTCTGGATGGTAGGGAAATACGGTTTTGCCGTAGTAAACTTGGTTTTCCTCGCTCTGCCCTATAACATTCACATTGAAGATCCTCTTGTTAATAAAGGTCAGAAGAAGTTCCACCATTAGGTCAGTCATCTCCTCGTCCGTTTCCTCCAAACTGGCCAAATAGACGACGAACTGGGCCAGAGGATTCCAGTTGACCATGCCTTTCCAGTGCTCGAATACCTCATCTAGGTCCTCATCTTCCAGGCTCTCCACAATGAGGAAATAGCACTGTGGCTTCTCGTTCATAAGAAAATTCGATGTGGAAGGACCCTCCCTGGAGTTGGTTATCACAAGGCTCCAAGGATACTTCTCATAATTGTTCATACCTCTTAGAAACTGCCCTTCGATATTGGGCAACTGATAATTACGATTGAAGCAGAGTACTGAGCCGGAGAGTCCATCCCCAGAATCAAAATATTTCCGCAGCAATGCCAGGGTGCAAGCTTCCAGTCCCTTATCCTCCGTTGGAACCTTCATCAGATTTATTCCGAATCCGTGGACTCCGGAATGCTGACTCGAGAGCAACAGCAAGGCTGCCAACCAAAATCGTTGCTCAGGTGTGGACATGCCGCAAACGAATGACTGAGCCACGCCCATTTACCACGCCCACTTAGGGCAGGCAACGCACTCCCAGCCCCCAAGGGAACGGACTTGGGTATTATACCGCAATTATGTTAATTTTCAATCTCCGGACTTATTCGAGCCCCTCGGCCGCGACTGTTGGGCATGAATAATAGTTTTCCCCTCATTCAGTTCGGTCTGTTTGTTTAGGCCACGTTTTTATGGCCCCGCCATAAGCGCCGAAGCTCCAGTTGAATTGCGACAAGTCTTATCTGAAATCTCTCTGAACCAATATACCACAATTCCTGCAACTCAAGTTAGATGAACTCAGTGCTAGCACTTTAGCTTTTCGGTTGGAAAATTATTGGTGCAATATACAAGGTATACAAAAAATGCGCCAAGCTATGAAAGTAATTTTGATTTATTTTGTAGTTTGAATTAATACAAAAGGGTAAGCCTTTTAGCTTTTCGTTCTAACTTTCTTTGGAAGTACCGACAAGAAATCAAACCAATTTCCTAGATGCATTGTACAGCACTGACTATACTTTGACTATTTCTTACCACGGTCGGGTAGAGTCTTACCCATTTGACAATAAATACAAATCGCGGGAACAACAAGGCCTGACATTTTGAAATCATAAATTATATCATATCCACTGTATGTAAATGAAAAAAAAAATAGTAAATAAAGCGCGTGTGCATAAAAAACAAAATAGACGACCACATGCAATTGAATTGCAAAATCTTGGTGGTCACCAGATATTGATCCAGCAAATTGGCCTCATTTTTATTTATCGCTTGGCCAGCACCATATTTCAAAAACGCACGATTTTTATGGCTTGCATTGTGCAAGAGGTACCATTTTCAATTTTCATATTCGTCAATTAATAGCCAGCAGTAAACGTTGAACACTTTTATTGCTCACACCTTCACAAACATTAAAACCAATCAGTTCTTAATCGGAACTATCTGAAACACTAAAACACCACAGTTAGCCAATCAATACTCAATTATTGCAAGATTGTTGCTAATACTGTGTCTATAAGTTACAGAAGTTGAATAATCAGGCAGTTTTGTTTCCATGGCCGGTGGTAAAAGTTGGGCCAGCTTTAAATTCTGTGGTCATGAGCTACAAAGTATGTTAAGTATGTAGAATATTTGAAATGCGTTAAGCGGGCGAGTAATTCCACTAAGATAAGCCACTTGCTATGTCTCATCTCTGATCTTAAATTAATAATAAATTACATTATTTCAAATGGCTCTGTATGTACCACAAAAAAAGAACCATAAAAATCACTTGCCTAGTCGGTATGGTAATTTGTTAAAACATATTTGTGTCTGCAGCACAAAAGGAACTAGACTTGTTTTTTACTTTCGAATGTAGATTGCGGATTATTGAATAAGTACATAAATTTAGAATGCGGCCGAGTAAATGAGTACATAAATTTAATATATTTTTCTTACTCTCTTAAACCACGACCACTTTTTGTTGCGTGAATATGCTAAACCAGGATTTAAGTATTTCAAGTGATATTAATATTTTAAAGTCATTACTTTAATAATTTGCTCTCCAATTGGTACTGTGACCACCCAATCATTAAGCTACTATTTGTATATATCATGAACAAACCTTTCAGTGACTCATTTGACAAAAGGTATTCGAATTTCGTTATGCCACAAGCGTGCATTTCGGGCAATTTATTAGCTTGACGTTTGAAAACAAAGCCGGCATGCATGTCCGGCGCACTTCAACCCCTCTGTCTCCATAATGGATATAGTATATCGGATCAGTCTGGTCTGCCATACTTCGCATTGGCCACAGGCGTCAAACTCAGAGTCAGTTGCAGCACTTTTGGCATGGGGCTGACCTTCGCCAAGAGAATAGAAACTGCGATCATAACTGCACCTAAAAAAAAGATCATTATCGAACATGTAGAGATGGAAAAGAAAGTAAATATATTATGAAAGCATAGCTTTGCAAAAATATTAATCACCAAATATCAAAAAACTATTTCAGCTTCAATATGGCACATCATTTTTCATTCAGTAAAATCTTAAATGACCCTCATTTATTTATTTCTGTGTGCATATGGGTAACTGGTGACCACACATACTTCAAGACTGATTTATTAAGCTTATAGTTGAAGTAATAATAACTCTCCAGCCGCAGTGCTCGAATTTTATTGGAGGATATTGATAATCCAGTGGTATTCACAATCGGCGGAAAACGAAAGTATGCGCCACAAAAATAACACGAAACAATTGTGGCTGTATATCTGTGAGTGTCTGTGGGAAACCGAAACCGGCTGTTGGCACACCCTCTGCGGAGGTGGAGCCTTCAAGCCACATTGGCCTAATTGGTATAAATGCAGACCATTACGGAAAACCAAGAGGCAAGCACTTAAGCAGGCCTATTAAAATCGCTTTAGAATTAGTGCTGATCGCGATATTAGTTGATTGGGTTCCGTCGCCTGGAATGCTTGGCCTAAAAGGTCCCAGACCTATCCAAGTGCCCGAAATGTTTACCGAATCCACCAACTTCGTCAAGACCTTGTCGCCGATGACAGAGCCAGTAATGAAACTGTCAACGGGTGACAAGAGCTGCCTCCGTCCACCTAGATTGATTCAATTAAACTCACATTTGTGCGCACAGAATGCGCAAATGAAGCAATTGCACGTTGACGATGACAAGGCATTTGGAGAATTTGAAACCAGCGGATAGCCAGAAAGCCTTAATTTGAAACATATTTAAAGTTCATTTCGTAATGGACACAATGAGAGGAGTTATGTAGGTTATTATTTTGCTTTAAGGTACATGGAGAACAGAGTTCGACACATTTTGATTAAACACAATTTTAGTTTTGCTACATTTTTTGTTATAACGTACATTATTGAAGTAAAATTATTAAAAATTAATAAGTAAAATCCATTAAAATCTGTTTTTGTATTCTAATGTTTGTTTAATTTTGCATTTTTCCCGGTGTGCAGACTTAGGCCACCGTATGGCGATGCGGCTATTAATCTTCAGGTGTTCCAGTGTTCCAGTATTCAAGTGTTCATCGTCACCGAGTCATATGGAGCGAGTGGCAAGCAGACCTGTCGCTGATTTTGTTTCTCCGCGGATTGGTTACTTTCGAAACGGCCAAGCCAAAACGCCTAATGAGCATCGGTCCAGGGCGTTGTTGTGAAAGGAAACTCATGATAGTTGTGATAGTTTTGATAGCTTTGATAGCCGCGAATCGCCCCGGGATAGGCACAAGCCGCCTACGTTTCCGCCCGGCTCGCATGTCGTAACATCTGAATCGGATCGGATCAGATCGGATTGGATTACCCGGTTATATCACTGCATGCTGGCCATATCGGCTGACATTGGCCACAGCCTTGAACCGGCGTGGTTAGAACCGGTACTACATAAACGTTTATTTAGATCGTAACTTGGTATTAGCTTGGGTCCAAGTGTTCTCCGAAAATACCTCAATTAAGAAAGTGAGCCAGTGACAAAGTGAATGTCGATTGGGCTTGGCCCATTAGCATGTGTTAATGAAAGTAATTATCAATGATAATGCCCCAAGCAGCAGTACTCATCCACGCATTGGTTATTTCGAGAGCAAATAAACGAACACCGTGTGTCACAATGCAAACAAATGCCAAATCGAGGCACTTAATGCTAACTTGGCTAATTCTGCCCGCAAACCAGTTTCGATATAGCGGCTGCAGTCACCTTTTTTGCATAACCCCTTTTAAGTGGGGCTTTTCACGATTTTTTTCCTTCTTTTGGATTAGCGCACAGTCGACGAAAATTGTCGGCAGAGAACATTTTGGTGGGTTTTCAATTTGGGGCACCCGGGCCCCGAAAATTCAAATCGTTTGGTATACTTTCCATTTTCAAATGGGTGCAAGCAAGTTGGTCCCTCAAACGAGCCGGCTCTTTGGTCTCATGGGCTTTCACTGGCTCCGATATTGGTCAAATGTAAATGGGTTCCTGCCAACATGTTATGAAACTCGAATCCAGTTCAGCTCAGTTGGACAACTCCGTTGGAAATCGAGTCTGTGTGTGCTAAGCTCTAGCACCTGTCCTGCATTTGCCACTAGCGGAACGAAAAGGTACTGGGTACATTTTATTTATAATTAAATGCAGTCAACAGCACGCGGAATTCGAATGAGACACAATCACTTATTAATCTCCGAGAATTTAAATATAGCTTAGTATCAAAACTGAGAAGAAAATCCAGTCTGTGTTCGCTGAAATTAATAAATAAAATAAATATAAAAGGGTGTAATATAAATCACTTATTTGACTGGCCAATTACTTATCAACTCTGGGGGCTCTGAAAATGTAAATAATGCTTGCAATAGCTTGAAAATCCAGTTAAGAAGCTAGTTTAAACTAACAAATAGGGACATGTTTTAAGTTAGCCAATTCATGGGGATATATAAATCTTAAATTCAAGTAAACAATTACTGAAAATTTAAATGCAGCATTGTATATTCCAAAAAAATCAATAAAACTAAATTCATTTGAGCTGAACTGGCCTTTCGAACTGGTTGTGGTATTTTAATTGCCACTCCAGTACATTTAATTTATAACTGTCTGTTTACCTTAAATTCCGACGCATCACCATGCGGTACAATGGACTCTCCATTCACAAAAACAGCCGCTGATATGCTGATACAAACGCCGAAATTCACCAAATGCGAAAATAAAACCGAATAAGTTATTTATTGGCAAGGCGATAATGAACTTGTAAAAAGAGTTCAGCCCAAATAACAACTGAATTACAACAATTGGCCGTCGCGTTGGCAGCACTCATAACTTGCAGACTTTAATGCAAATTTGCGGAAACTGGCACCACGGAGCGTATGAGTGATGTGTCCCCAGCAGAAAAGCTGCTCTGAATGTCCGCCCATCGAGTATAAGAGTTGCACTGCAGCAGGAGCCGACCAGGTTGATAGGTTGTTAGGCCAATATAAAGTAACAAGCAACCCACTCTTATAAAATTCGGTGC